ATGTAAAAGCTTTTTTTCCTGCTCTGTGTAGAATTTTGTCCTAACATTTTTTTTTAAAGATACCCTGCTGTTAAAATAATTTAACTGCAGTGCTCGAGTATGATTTGTCCTATATTTCTTTTGCTTTCTCTGAGGAGTTACATAACTTTTTCATTTCTAATGACTTTTCCTAAATATAAACTGTGATGTTATATTACGCACCTCCTTTGGCTCCAAACCAATTAATCTGAAGTGGTTCAAGGCCAAAGAGAAGTCTAGGATCACATCCTGGCATTCCTGGTGAAAGGTTTGTTTATGCACTTCTTGTTTTAAATAAATGGTTCGGTGGTTAAGTCAATCTTCTGTTGAAATTGATCTTATCTTTTAAATTCATGTAATACTCTAAATTAATAGAGGATTGTTTGGGTATCTGCTTGCCCTGTGTAACTTAGATGCTGCGTAAAAACCATTTGTATTATAGCCGACGCATTATTTTGCTTTCTGAAATCAGATAGCTTTAGCCATTTATACTGTTTAAATCATAAGCAGGATTAACCCAGGAGGATATCTGTCTCTCCTTATCCTAACAGTAGAGCTTGCTTGCCTCTAAGTACTTCCCATCACGGCTCTCTCCAAATTCCTCCACCAAAGCTCTTCCTCCTCATCATCAGACTTTCACCTTTCTGCCCCAGGTGCTGGGGCTGGTAGCTGGCAATAGCCAGAGGCCTGGAGAACTATTCATCTCACAGCACTCATCTCTCCTGCCGTATTTTTGACACTTTGCTAGGAGATGAATCTTTAGGCCTACACACAGAGTGAGGAGCTACAGTGCATGATTTGCCTTGCAGTACTATTTCTCCTTCCTGCTGCCTATGCAGGCTCAGAGTGCTAACTCTTGGAGCACAGTTCCTGCTTTTATTACTTTGTATTTTATGTGGACATATTGCTGATGTTTGCTTCACAGTTTGAGAAATGCTAGTCTTGAGAATGGCGTTTAGAACTTCCTTGTCTCAGCGTTACTATGCTGTGTGGACTATTTTCCTTCTGAGAAATCTTACTTGGATGTTTACATTTGGATTTAGGATGACTAATATTGGGAGGCCAGTCTTGAAGGATTGTTCCAAAATTCTAAATTTTTAAGATTTTTATAATTCTGAACATTTCTCAGCTTTTCCAGTCTTTTGTTCATGCACACATCCACTATACATTCTCACAGCCATTTCAGCATGAATTGAACAATTCTAGAGTGGTTCACACATAGGCCTATCACATATACAAATCAGAGAATAAAATACTAATGAAGAGGGACATAATTCATTGTGTAAGAAGTTAAGTTTTAGCTTCATTACTGCCCAAGTGCAGATTTACTGGGTGGGGGAGGGACAGAAGGAGCAGTAAGATTTCCCCATTGCTAAGTTTCATATAATTTTTGACAACTTTGTTAAAGTGGACGAGTGGTTTGTCAGCTTGTAAATAGCAAAGGAATAATGACATTCTCACATACAAGCAACCTCAGATGCTGAAGGGATGAACCACTTGATGCTTCAAGGAAATAAACTGGTAGGACACCTGACAAACAACAATAGGTAGCACTTATTTCTTCCAGCAGAGTTTGTCCCTTTTAATGAATGCTTATGTTGCACAAGCAATTGCTGCATTGCACTGCATCAGCACTGTTCCAAATCCTGATTTGGAAGCATTAACTGATAACTTGACAAAGCGTGACACGTGGTATGTTGAAGTGTTTTCAGCTGCGCTAACACAATAAATTGTAATGGCTCCAAAAGAGCCATTTCAGTTGATTGTGTCAATAAACTACAGCCCAGAGGAAAAAAAATAAAAAATAGATGTGGCCAACCTGAATAAAGTAATGTGTAATCACAAAGAATTGGTTAACAAATTTTTTTCCCCCTTCTTAGAAAAAAAATATTTTGCAGACAAAGCCTGTAATTTCCAGAGCTTTTGCCTCTGACAAATCCGAAGTCCGGTTCTACGCTTACCAATTTACATCCCTCCATTTCTGTATGTATAAAACTCAGTGGTTCATAGCTCTGCTGCTAAAGGAAGACTTGGCATGTGTTCTCAGTGTGTCAATATACAGGCTATCCCATGCACTTCATCTTTCTCCTTCTTTTCTGAGACACATGCCTACTGCCTGTAAAGAAGATCCCTGCATCATTTCCTGGACCAGGCGCCTTCAGACACAAGGCTACCATCACTTCCTGGTTTTGTTTTGTTTTTTCCATTCAGAAGAACTACATCTGCTTGATGGTAATGCAAAAAAAAAAGCTGCTTTCTTAGGAGGGCTGATGATACACACTGAATTCTTACCTCATTGAGCCCACTAAGGTCTCAGATTAAGTAAATCAGGGTACAGCTGGACCTAATGAGACCAGCTGCTAAGTCATTAGTTCTGTGTGTTGGCTGCTTTTTTCATTGCCCATATACCAGTCAAAACCCATTTGGTGCTGTCCCATATCCTCAGAGATCACTAACATAGATAAAGACCGCAGTCCATGAGCCTTAAGTGCCTCAGCAAGGGTGTGCTTTGTGTGTTAAGCACCTGGAACTTCCTGAGTTACTCTTGGTAAGTAGAGAGAGGAGGACAGTCCTTTCCCAGAATTTACAGCTCACTGAATAACCATAGCAAAGTGTACCTACAGTAGGAGCCCTGGAGGAAAGAGTTGTGCTTGTTTTGAAGATACATTACTTTCCAAATATTTTTACAATGATTTTTATTTTTCTGCATCCTTAAGGCAGCAACTTCTGTCTAGGAAACGTAGTAGTTTTCTTAGAAGAAAAAAAATATATATGAGAATTTACTAAAACATTGGTTGGTTATTTGGTACCAGAAATTGAATCTTCTTGACTGCTTATTTCACATACCTAGCAAGTGGAGACACTAATCACAGACATTTGTGTGGCACACATGACCTCTGCCTTATTCTCATATAGAGGGTGGACTGCACTTAAAAGGAAAGGCAGTAAGCTGTTTGGAGGAGTATGAAGTGGCAATAATGCAGTACGGAGCTGTGTAATAACAAAAATGCTATGTAAGGATTTCTCTGTAAAGTTAGGGAACTGGTTAAGTCATGGCTAATTAGCCTAAAAGGCAGATTGTCATTAAAGAAATGCACAGTGCCAAAGAGAGCAATAACTTGCACCACTGACACTATTCAAAATTCTCCTTTTCTCTACAAGAGATACTAAACAAGTGCCCCGTGAGTACGCTCAAATTACTGATGAGGCATTTTCGTCAGTTAAGGCAGAAATTTACCTCCATTCATCTTAACCTGATCGTGATACTTTCTCAGGCACAAGCTTAACACCCAACAGCCCATTGCTTTTGCAGCCAACAGAAATGCCCAACAATAAAATCACAACAGCTGAAGATGAAAGGACCCAGTCAGCCAACTTGCTAGAACATTTGCTGTGTTATTTTTACTCCCTACAGTCTGCTGTCAAATGTATTTCTGATCATCACTTGAACTTTTGATGTCATTGGCATTCTGAATGGCTTCACAGGCAGATGAATGGATTACACTCATCCATCCGTTGGTTATTCATCTGATTGCTTCAAGAACGTCTGTTTGTAAGACAAGGGTACTGCCAAAATCGAGTGAATTGCTTCTTGTTTTTGAGAAACCCCTTCACTTCCACTTAGAGGTGTCATGTTCCACATAAAATGAGTAGCATTTTTTTCTACTTAACATATCCTAGTACGATTTATGAATTGTTCCTCAAGTAAGACAAGCTTGTTTTACACTTTATTTACTCAGATCAGAACACTGATGGTAGAAATAAATGAGACAGACAAGAAAATCCATAGTCAGAGACACGACTTGCTTTATTCCCCAGCTAGCAGCAGAATCTGGGCCTCTTGCATCACAGACTACTGGCCTCAGGGTAAAAAGCAGAAAAAAAATTAAAAGATGGAATGCGTTTTTGATGTAATAACTGGAACATAAGAAATCAGTATGTATTGAGAGCTAACAGCTAAATGCTGGCCATATCTGCCAGACTCATGGGTCAGTGTGCTCTGAACAATAAAGACTACAAAAACACAGCACTGAGGGGGACATAGTTGCTGCTACTCTTAACATGTTTGGGTAAATGCACTGTTTCACAGTCCTCAATGTCATATGATCAACAACAAAACAGCACTGCTTGCTCAGTAAGCAAAGAGGCAAAACAATCAATTTCTACCTTCAAAATGTTTTGTATGGGTTTGGTAGTATTCAGTTATATATTTGAAGTATGGTATTCCATTGAGAACATTTTGTTAGTTATTTTTCTCATCTTCCCATGGGTCTGTTTCTCTGCTGCAGAGGCATTTCTCCAGCCAGCAGGTTAACCAATTTGGTGTACTTCCCAAATCTGTGCAGATGACACTAGCATTATCCGTGATGTTTATGGCAAAAACAAACAAACAAAAAAATCCAATGAAGAAAAATCCATTTGTTTTGTGCCTTCTGAGAAAGAAAGGAGGAAAAAAATATCAATTATTTGCCAAATAGAAAGGAAAAAAAAAAAGAAAAAAAAAAAGGAAAACATATTATGGGAACCAGAATATCTTTAAGAGAGGAAAAAAAAAAAAAAAAACAAAACCAATTCAAATGCTGAAATCAAGATTTATTTTGGTAGCAATAAGATGTTGAACACCTTTTTTTTCATTAACTCTACACCATATTCACCAAAACTGAACTCTTGTTTGTACATTCAATATCCGCTGAATACGAGACAGACAAAAAAGGGTGGAGATGCCTAAGGTGAATTTCAGACAAAATACAATTCTTACATTAAAAACATAATATATATTTTTGGAGAGCAAAAAAACAACACTAAACAGTTTTGCTATGCTCTGCACAGAATATCCTAAATTCCCATTGAAGACATGAAATTCTGTCTTCAAGGCAGAAGGGCTCACTCCTGAAGTATCTCTGGCATCTCCCATCTCTGTGGACACTACATGAAGAAAAAATTGCACTGATGGGGCCTAGAGACCTTGTGTTTACAGAGGCATGGAGCTGCTGCTGCCAATCATGGATCCACCTGGGTAAAAAGTCAGTTTCCCTGCTGTTTATAAGCTCCCCCAGAGTACCGTAAGGGACAATGCGGTGTCCCTGGAGCTCCCTGTTCTGCGCAGTGAACAAGGCCAGCTCCCTTGGCCTTTCTTCATAGGAGAAGGGCTCCAGCCCTCTGATCGTCTTCACATTGTCCTCTAGACCCACTCTAACAGCTACACATCCTTGTGCTGGGTGCCCCAGGCCTGGGTGCTGCAGGTTGGCCCCCATAAGCGCCAGCAGCAGGGACAACCACCTGCCAGCACAGCCCTCTTTGGATGCAGCCCAGCACACCGCTGGCCTTCCGTGCAGTAAGCACGCGCTGCCGGCTTTCTCCAGGCAGCAAAACAAGGAACGAATCCTTGCACAGCCCGGCTGTGGGACCCGCACCTGTTGCGCTGCCCGCAGCCCTTCTCCCTCTGCGTGCTGAAGGGATGAACCTGGAGCTGCAAGACCAGCGTGCTGGTTGCCCTGGGTTATGGGAGGTAGGAGCACAGAGAACGTGAAGCGCTTTTTATTTATTTATTTATCTATGACTGCTCATAAGATGTCCTCATCGCCGGGGCTGAAAAGCTCTGCAATGTACCTTTACCCTGAGGCCAGCGTCCACTCGTCCGTTACAATTTTTCCCCCTCCTTCGGAGAGACGAAAACCCATTTCACCCTCCAGAAAAGCAGGTTTGTCCTCCCCCTACGAGCTTCAGCGGACAAGACATAAAAGGCGACAGCCTAAGGACAAAGCTGCCGACCGGTGACAAACAGCCGGCGCCCCGCCGCGCGCAGCTTCCCCTCCCCGGGGCCGCCCCGCAGCCGCACCCAAGGGCCGCCGCACCGCGCGGCTCCGCCAGGGGAGGGGCGCAGAGGGCGGTGCAGTGCCGTCCTACCGCCGCCCGCTCCACCTGCTGCCGCTGCGCCAGTAGCCGGCTGGGGGGAGCGCTTGCTCGCCCGCCCGCTCCATCCCCGCGGGGCCCCTTTGTGCTGCTCCAGAGCTGCCCTGAGCCACGCGGCGGCTGCGTCACGGCGCTGAGTCTTTCTGCCCGCCGAGGGACAGCCGCCGCCTCGCCGCCCGCTCCGCCATCGCTGCGCGGGCCGCGGCGGAACGACGCCTCGCCGCCCCCCGAGGAAGGGCCGGGAGCCGCGGCGGTGAGTGGCGGGGCGCTGCCTCGCCGCCCCCAGGGAGGGCCGGGGGGAGCGCTGCCGTGTGCGGGGCCGCCATGGCGAGGGGCGCCGGGCGGGGCCGGGGCTGAGGGCGATGCCGATGCCGCACCGCGGTCGCCGGGATCGTGATAACGCGCCGCGGTGGCTGTGTGCTATTTATTTATTTATTTACTTATTTATTTTAAGCGGCGGTCGTAATTCTCACGTACTGAGACGTGCTCAAGTCGCGGAGACCAGCCCGTGTGTATGCGTGTGTGCGTGTGTGCGTATCGCCGTGTGTTTCGGGGGCTGTGGAAGGGGCTGGTGGAGCCCAGCGCGCTGACACACCGCTCCGCTGTGCGTTTTTCTGTGTATCTGCTTGCAGAAAACCCCTAATTCCTGGAAGAATGGTGAAACTGGGGAATAATTTCAGCGAGAAGAGCACAAAGCAGCCCCTTCTGGAGGATGGCTTCGACACCATCCCCCTGATCACACCCCTGGACGTCAATCAGCTCCAGTTCCCGCCTCCCGACAAGGTACGGTGCCTTCAGCTTCCACCCCGGAGAATCACACCCAAATCCTGGGCAAACAACAAAGAATGGGTTACGTGTGACAAGCGGCTCGGAGCACCGGGCAGTACGCCGTGTTCTGAGCAGTCGCAGCCCCTCTGGGGAACAGCGGAGCTACCGGCAACCCAGCAGTGGTGATTTGCATTGAAACGTAGTGGGGAATGTGAGCGTTTGTGAGGTGTTTGGGTTTCTGTATGAAATGTAGGAGCAGACAAATGCAAGGTGTTCTGTGCTGTATTGTTTCATCCCTTTTCAATGTCTGACTCGTTAGTATGTGGAAGGTGCTGTGCACCCTTTGAAGGGAAGGGAATTTTCCCTGAAAAGCCCCCCTGGTGGGCTGTGAACACAGCTTTGTCTCTGCAGGATGAACATAGGCAGACTGGCCATATAGAACTTCCATGTTCCATTTGTGCTTTTGTAGAACTTCCACTAGCTCCACTCAGCCTGAAGCACTGGGATGAGAGTAGATGACTGAGCTTCCTATGAGAATCTTACAATGACTTGAGCTGGGAGGGACCTCAGAGGTCGTCTGGTTCCAGTCCCTACACTGTGGGCAGGGTTGTCCATGACTAGATCAAGTACTAGGTCAGGTTAGCAACTTGTTTGGCCCCAGATCTCTAAATGGAGGTGATGTAGGTGCTCTATGGCTGGAAAGGACTGCTTGAGGTGCTGCTCACAGGTTGGAAGGGAATCATGTATCTACATTCCTCATCTCATGGCTTGAGTGTCAGGGATTCAGGAGTATGACAGAGTAATCCATAAATATATTCATTTCACTCAGATGTTTCAGTAAGAGTTATTATGGGTGGGGCATACAGTGGTAGGATACTTTTTTCAGGTATTTCAGTAAGAGACTTGGCTGGGGCATTTTCCACATGCATCTGGCAAAAAAAAAAAAAAAAAAAAAAAGCTTTGTGTTTTAAATCCAAGATTTAACTGGAAAATGATTGGTAATATGTTCCTTCTGATTTTTGCTTTTGGCATTGTGTCCTCCAAGAGCTCAGTTCTCCTTTTAGATAAAGTGATGGGTATGTGCTACTCAAAGTTAAGAATAATAAAAAAAAAAATCACATAATCCTACCTCAGGGTAAAGCATTTCAGCTTTTCAAGTCTGCCTCAGAAGAGTGTTGCTCGTAGGCAACACAAACACATTTATGACCTCCATTTTAATTCCTATCAGCATCGTTGTGCTGTGTGTGGTGACCAGTTGGCAGGCATAAATACAATAAGCCATAACAGCTGTACAGAGCCTTAGGGCCCATTTTCTGTCCTTCGTTACATGGGTGTAAATCTTCAAACCGAGGACAAAATTGCACCCTAAGGCTTTCAAACAAGTTAAGTCTGACTGTGTCTGATATGCCTGCCAACTGGTGACTGCATAGAACTGATTACCAAGAGCAGCATCCAGAGGAATCTGTTGTGTTACCATGCTGTTAAGCAGAAGGCTGCTTTGGGACCGTGTGGGATAATAGGTTTACCTTGAGTGGAGCTGTGGTAAACATAGGAGACTGTGCCTCCCATCTGCACCTGCTTGGAGCAGGCAGAGCTCCTCCTGCCTCTGCAAGATTTGCCTTCAACATAGCACACATACACCTCAGCTTGAAGCTTAAGGAAACGTTCAGTTGGCTCCTCTGCACTTTGCATTGTCTATTGGTATGATAGCTTTCCTTTCATTTTGCGAACAATGAGGAAAAATAGAAGCATGCATTTATTGGTCTTATTGGCTTCCTTCTGTGAAGTTAGTTGTAATAAGGTTAGTTGTGTCACTGTGTCCTTCGAGTCTGCTACAGACACAAAGGCAGTAGTAGAGTAGCTGATGTGAAAAACAGCAGAAGGGTTGTCAAGATTGACGAATGGAACAAATTCTGAAGTATGAAGACTCTCATGTACAGTGGAGTACGTCCTTCATATATCTGTGCTTATTATTCACTTACAAGGCTCTGGTATGGCAGCGAAGCCTAACTTCTTGGGTAGTGACTGTAGTGCCAAGGATTTGATGGTTTTGACAGCTTCTAAATTAAACGGATGAACTGATTTAAATTCATATTTAGGTATGTTAAACAAAAGAAGACATTACATAACCAAGCAGATAGAACTCTGTGTTCAGAGTCAGCTGAAAGTGACTTGAGTTGCCTGAGAATTATGCAACATAAAGGGGAAGAAGTATAATGTTAAAAAGATGTTCCAGACCGTTTGCTTCCATGAAGCTGCTGGGTAATTGAAAAGTAACATAGTTATAATTATCTTATTAATTATAGCTCAAAATAGATTTAGAAACTCTTTTCCCTGTGTTCTATGTCTGTGTGCTTTTATAAAAGTATCTAATAGGCTTTGTGCTACAGTCACGCAAAGGAGAACCCAAAGGTTTAATTTCAGTAAGTGGCTACCTGTAAGTCTATCTTAATTTATCACAGCTTATTACAGTCTTAATTTATGAATAGTTGCCACTGATAACATGTGCTGCTCCAAGGACAGCATCTGGTTCTAAAAATCTGAAAGTGTGAAGTCTCAATATTTGTTCTTGGGAACAATAGAGAAAATTGGCCAAACCACAATGGAGCTGCCAGTACAATAAACTGCCTGTTTGGTTTGAGATGCTTTCAAAAATAGATCCTGAAAAATTGTAGAAGAAAAGAAATGAGGCAAGTAGGTTAGGTGTATGAAAATTCTGTATGATGAGAATGCCTAGGAGAGTATTTGAGGTACAACTGACACAAGTATTTTTGGAATACAGGTAAGACGCTCAATGATATTTTGAGGAAATAGCTCACAGCAAGGAATAAACTGAAATTAAAGAGCCTTGGGCATTTTGAGAAATCTCATTATCACGTAAGGGTTTGTGTGTTCCTTGTTGCTAGTAACTTAAAAGTTATGAGATGTTAAATATTACAGTGCCAAAAGCTTTTGTCTGGCACGTACCAAATTGCATCTAGCTAGGTCATTCCACTTCTCTGAAGTTCAGAATCGTGCTGTTGGAGAACATGGCTGTGGAGCATACTTCTGAAACTAATGGAGATGGCTGTTTCCTGCTTTGAACAATCTGAAAGTCTTGTGATTTGGATTTGAACTAAATAGGTGCTTGCAGCACAATAACAGAACAGCTGAAAAAATTGAATGTTCCTGAAAGTGTTGCATAGCAAGTCTTCCTTTAGATCCATCAAGATTTTTTTTTGAGAGAATTTTGTTGATTACTATGAAGAAAATAGACAGAAATAACTAACAGCTTGAAGCTTCCATAGGAGAACTGCACAAACTGGAGGAGGAAAAAAAAAAAACAGTGTTGTGTTTAATGTGCTTGTCAGCAAATAAAAGAGTAAAATAAGATTCCCACGGCTTGTTTCATGCTATTCCAAACATGGCAGGTGCACCTGAAGATGTGCTCAAAAGGTACTGACAGCTTTTTGATATATATATATTTTTGACTTGTTTTAAAGGTTGTGGTCAAAACGAAAACAGAGTATGAACCTGATCGCAAGAAAGGAAAATTCCGTACTCCAAAAATAGCTGAATTCACAATCAGCATCACTGAAGGGGTTTCAGAAAGATTTAAGGTAAGCAATGCAAGCTAAATATGTTAGTGACTCAGTTCTGCTCCAAGAAATGCTTAAAATCAATTGCTGATTGTCGTCAAGAGTGGTTGTAACAGAGTGGCTGTTTGGAGCATAACTGGAAAAGAGAAAAAGGAATTCAGTGATAAAATAGTTACGTTATAATATATACTTATATCCAGTGGGTATTTAACATTTGGGAGCAGAAGGAAGCCCTGCAGTATTACTGGTTCTAACCCTTCCTGGCAGTCGGGCTTGGGGGCAGTGCTGTCAGTGTGTGTGTGTCACAGTGAGGCTGACTGGGATCTGGTTGGGGCGTGCATAGGTGTGGCTTACAGCATGGACAAAGCTTCTGTTGAAGGGTAAGAACCACAAGAGTGTATGTTTCCTTGTTGGTTGGCTATTTTTCTCTGTAGCCAAACCATTCTCCTAAAAGCACTGTCATTGTCCATTAAGTGTTTCTTATAGTGAGATGTATGACTTGGCAACTTAAGGATGCATACAGAGCTCTTTGCTATCGATGTTGTGGTCCAGCTGTATCATGCAGGTTGATGATGATGATCACTGGGAGATGGCAGAGCAGTGGGAATCTGACTCACATTTATTCATTTGTGTCCACATCCTCCTTATTTCCTTTGATAGTTCTAGAGGAAAGCTGAGCGCTTAACTGATGCCAAACTGATACAAACTGATTGTATTGCCAATTCCACTTCTCGCTGGAGGTCAGGTTTTCTTGTGCTGTACAAGTAAAATAAAGCAGGAAAGATAGCAGTTCAGCTCACGTTTTCTTGTCAGTTTTCTTAATGAAAGAAGACTAGTTTTCCAGTGCTGTTAATTTGGCATATTACCCAAGGACACCAAAGCATTTTCAAATAGCAGGCGACCACGCTATTCAGTGCAGGTACAGATATGCTTGGAAAGCCTTAAGTTTAGTCTGAGGAAAAATAGAAGGTTTCAGTAAAGATATCAGTTCTCCTGATACTCCTTTTCATTCTCAGATTGCCTTGGGTTGGAAGGGACCTTAAAGATGGTA